GATTTAATTTAAATAGATACTTAATTATGTTTTAAGCAAACACATTTATATAACTTATTATTGTCATTATTATTTCTTCTATTCAAACATAAAAAGGCTTTTTATTTAGGTATAACGAGGTGGGTATGCTGCAATTAATACATTTAAATCTCTTCACCTTGGATATAACAATATACTTTGTTTAATTCGATTACAATCGACATATGCATGCAAAATTGGTGACATTACTTTTACAGGTAAGTTATATTTAGCTTTGAGTAGCTAGAGATTCTCAATATAAATTGGGATATTTACCTGAAGATAAGGTGTTATGTTGATGAGCTCTATGAGACTACCACATGTAGATACCGATTGCTGAGATAGAAGAGGAAAATCATGATGTAAGGGTGGCCTGTTCATACATCATACTAAATAACAACAGGATGTCACTAACTATGTTTGCAGGAAATCTGTATGAACTGAGGAGTTAGTCGTGCATATCTTGATACACTGTTACCCTGTAATAGTTGATGGTATAAAACGTTTAACAATGATCATGTTGCTATTACAGATATTATTGATCCGAAACTACTTATTAAATTTCACCCTTTAAATGTGTAACGGTAGTCACTAATTATTTCCAGGATTTCTTTTAAATCTGTTGCAAATATTACGGTTAATACTTGTGAAAGCCCCCACAAAAAATTTTTACCCTAAAACTAGTGATTAAAACTTTTTTTACTACTATCATTTCTTTGTATGTAATTCCACCAAACTATTTTCAACCAAACTTATAACAGGCACCATAATTAGGAAATGTGAAAAGTACAGTACTGTACTTATTTGTCCTAATTCTATAAACGGAGATTCTACGTGTTTAGCTCCAAGTTGCATTAAAATTAAAAAATTCGCGAGAAACACGTAAAACGCGAATTTACTTAAAGGTCTAAATTGCAAGCCTCTGGTTCTACCAAGATCCGTAAAGGGCATAACCAATAGTATAAGAATAGCAGAAAACATTGCTATTACTCCTAGCAATTTATTTGGTATGGATCTCAGTACTGCGTAGAATGGTAACAAGTACCATTCTGGCACTATAGCAGGAGGTGTTTGCATTGGATTCGCCATAACATAATTTTCACTGTCCCCTAATAGGTTAGGCATAAAAAATACAAACACAGAGAGTACAAGTATAAACAGAAAGATCGTAATTAGGTCTTTAAATATGAAGTAAGGTGCAAACGGTAATCTGTCATAGTTAGCTGAAACACCTAAGGGGTTTCCTGATCCTGCACTATCATGTAGTGCAATTAGATGCATGATAGCTAATGCGGCCAAAACGAAAGGTAATACGAAGTGGAGTGCGAAAAATCTATTTAGGGTTGCATTATTCACAGAAAAACCTCCTCATATGAATTCAACAATGTCCTGTCCGACTCAAGGTATAGCACTCATAAGGTTAGTGATGACTGTGGCACCTCAAAGTGACATTTGGCCATAAGGAAGCACGTAACCTAGAAAAGCAGTAGCCATCATTAAGATAAATATAACTGTTCCTATTGTTCACACTAGCGTTCTGGGTGCTCTGTACGAACCATAGTACAATCCTCTTCCTATATGTAAATAGACTAAAAAAAAAAAGGCGGAGGCTGTATTTGAGTGTAGGTAACGTATTAGTCATCCATTGTTTACATCTCTCATAATGTGCTCAACCGAGTTAAATGCTTCTAATATACTAGGGTTATAGTGCATTGCAAGTGTAACACCTGTAATTATTTGTATTACTAAACTGAATGCAAGTAAAGATCCGAAGTTTCATAAATAACTCAGATTCGAGGGTTGAGGCGAATCGACTAAATATCCGTTTAGCAAACTAAGTAAGGAATGACTTTTAAAAATTCTCATGTTTAGTGTATTGTTTTGATAAGTGGCGTTTTTTTTATCGTAATCTACACAGCAGAAACAAACAAAAAGTTTTTTTTTTGAATTAATTATATACACGTTTATTAACCTTACGTAATATCTGTAAAGGGATAGGTTTAATTTATATTTAGCTTAAAAAAAAAGCTCATATTAATTACTTACAAAACAGATACATATATTGTTTTAAGCAATTTATACCACTACCATATTAGATTACTTCACACCATTACATTTGTGTATGTCAGTATACTTAGTTAACCTGATTACCAGTTTTTAAAGCATTAAACTGTGTAGTGAATTCGAATAAGACTTATAATAGTAACACCACAGATAACATTGTGAATGTGGCATTTCTGCAGAACGAAGAAAAAAAGGAACAAACCAAAGGTATCGTGATAAAGACATAATTATAGTTCATAAAGTAAAATAACGGGTTTAAGCCAGGTGCTAGAGTATACGGCCAAAACTATAATATAAACAGAGAAATAAATAAAGAAACAAAGATAAAAAAGAAAAAGAAACTAGCTAAGTAAAATATTATTAGCTTAATGGTAAAGCAGGAGATTGCTAATCTCTATAATAAAGTTGAAATCTTTAATAAGATTAACACCATGATCCTAGCGTTAGCTAATAATATGTGATCTTTAGTTTTTGTAATAATACACAAA